CGCCCCACCCACTAGGATAGTGATGGTGAACCTATGACACGCGTGTCAGAGGTGACACACGAACTCATTTTTTTTGGTTGATTTTTCTTTGTTAAATGGCATTTAAATATATAAAATAAATATCAAAAATATAAATCTTTGTTTTACTATGGTTGCAAATATCAAAACATTTCTATATGTGACACGGCACCAGAGTTAAGTTAGGGTTTTTCAAAATGCTGACATGCCGAGCTCAAAAGGTTCACCATCACTGCCCTAGGCAATCACTAGTTTGGTGTCTTTCCTCCCCTCAGCTTTACTGAAATATAATTGACATATAGCAGTGTGTACAATGTGATAATCTGATACACATGTTAGTAAATGATTAACATGTAAGGTTAGTTAACACATTGATTCAATAAGGGTATTTCTTGATCTCACTCTAGTTTTCAGCCAGATCTAAAGCAAGTTCTAAAGATATATATTTTTTAAATTCCCCACTTTTATATTTAACATGTCTAACTTTTTTGTCCCCTTTGAAAATTCAACCCACTGGCAAAATAATTTTTCCCCAAGAAGACCAAGCCAGATACTCCTTGGGATTCTCATCACCACCTTTGAGACTGAAGAAAAAGCAGCATTCATCATTCAACAATGAAATTAAGTCCCATCTTTCTGTTTGTACCTCCTCCATCTGGGCACCAACCCTATTCTCTTCTCTCACCACTGTGAACCCGATACAGGTATCTCTCTACCTCTCTCCTGCATATGCAAACTCCTCCTAGCTCATTTCTTCAGCCTGTAAAAGTGGTCAAGTCTCTCCCAATCTCAAAAAACAAGAAGAACAAAACTCCATACCTCTCTTTATGGTATGTGTCCCTCTAGCAGCTATTCACCTTCTCTCCTCCCCCTCAGATCAAAACTTTCCTAAAGAATAGTTTATTCTAGCTGCCACCCCCCTTCTTCCTCTCTGACTTTATGCCTCAAACACCTAGTATGCCTTCTTACCCTATTATTTTATTGAAACTGTGACACTGAGCACTCCTTGTTCTCTTATTTCATTGACTCCTTCTTGTTTCCTTTTTTTTCAAGGGCTCTCCCTGTTCCTCTGTCCTTCCCTTTCAGAGAGTCTCTGTTCTTTTCTCTATATACATTCTCACTGGGTGAGCTCATCCACTCTTGGTTTTCAGCTATAACCATCTATTGCTGATGACTCCCCCAAATACATCCTCCAGCTTAGATCCCTATCATCAGAGCTTCATACTGATAGCTTCAACTGCCTACTGGACATCTTCACCTGTAATTTGTAAAAGGCACTTCTATTTCTTTATCACATCCCAAATGAAATCATCTTCCTTCTTCCAAGCCTACATCTATCTCAATTTGTCACACCACCACTATGACCATTCACCTGAGAGAGACTACTGACTCCTTTTGCACTCTTCCTTCAATCACCTGCTCCCACTGATTTTAAATCCTAAATATATGTCAAATTCATTTATGTGTCTCTGTTTCAACATCTCTCACTGGAGCCATTATTGAAGTTTCTTATCTTCCCCAGCCGAATAGCTCAGTTGGTTGGAGCGTCGTCCCAATGTGCTAAAGTTGCAGGTTCAATCCCCAGTCAGGGCACATACAAGAATCAAGAAATGAATGCATAAATAGGTGGAACAGCAAATCAATGTTTGTTTTTCTCTTTCTCTCTCTCCCTTCATCTCTCTAACATCAATTTTAAAAACTTTTAAATCTTTCATCTGTTCTCTCTGCTTGCATCTCCCTTTTACCCCCAACTTTCAAAAACATCCTCCAGACACACACCTGTGTTTGATATGGATACATGGGTCTCACAAGAGGCTTCCATCTATTAATTTAAAGGCTTCTAAGGTTAATCTATTACTGCTAAACTCAACAAAGAAATAATCTCATAAAAATGTGGTTCTAATTTTTAATGCTGTCATAAAGTACTATGCCTTAACAACTCCTTCCAAATCTTTAAATTGCTTAACCTAATTATTAAAAAAAATTGAATGTATATATCCCTATTACATCAAAAGGAACAAATATCTTTCTTTATGCCAACTATATATTTTTAACTCTTTCTGTATGGGTGCATTCTCAATAAACAGATTTATTGGCTATTTTTTTGCAAAAAAAAAAAGTAGTTTGGCATCAATTACTCCAAAACCAACCTGTTTTATGGTAAGCATACAACAGTATTTAAATATTCCATACTAATTACTTATACTAAAAAGCAATGAATAGCCCTAGCTGGTTTGGCTCAATGGACAGAGCGTCGGCTTGCGGACTGAAGCGTCCCAGGCTCCATTCTGGTCAAGGACACATATCTTGGTTGCAGGCTCCTCCTTGGCTCGGGCCCTGGTCCAGGCTCATGCAGGAGGCAACCAATCGATGTATTTCTCTGACATCGGTATTTCTATCTTTTCCTCTCTCTTCCACTCTCTCTAAAAATCAGTGGGAAAAAACCTCAGATGAGAATTAAAAAAACAAACAAAAAACAATGAATATGTCTGCTAT